ATGATAAACGTCTTTGTATTCTTGTAATAGTGGACAAACTAATATTTAGTGCCCAAGCCACCCCCTAAAAAATGTTATAGAATAAATTAGCAATCATATCCATATGACCATATTTCTAATTATTACAAACCTCTTTAACAGCTGACAATGGTAATAGAGGTCCTCCATTATCCTTTTCTTGTTGAAAGTAGTTCAACAAGGATAGCACCAAGCCCTGCGTTTGAGTTTTGCCTTTCATAGCAAGCACTCGCAAACTAGAATTGAAAAGTCGTAAAAGATGCATTTATGTTGGGAATTATTTAGTTCCTACCTTAATAATAATTTTAGTGAGGAGTTTGTGTTTGAAACACCAGGTATAAGAAGAACAAACCTTAAGACAGGAACACCAAAGACCAATTTTCGAAAACAACCTAACCTGATCTAACATAATCTGACTTTTCATCTGTCAAATGTGATCGATCATGCAGCATGAAAAAATCGTCTATCTTTGTCGGATACATGCATATTAGTAATACTGTTCGTCTAGCTACACTATAAAATTATGTTTGTCTCTGTCTACCATACCTAAAGCTTCATTAAAAATATTGACAAATCATGTTTGTCTTTACTAGACAGTAAAATGATGACGTAATCGTCATCTTTCGTGGTTGCGACTTTATGGTGAAGTAGCCAAGAACATTCTAATTCATTACAGGTTCTTCAAAAAGAAATTGCATATGAAAGGTCGTCTAAGAGCAAAATGGTCTTAGTGCAAATAAACGCCAATGATTTAGAAACTCCCTCTACATTTGTTACCTCATTCTGAAGGAGGTCGCAAGGAGATGATGAGATATCAGTATCCCCAAATTAATTCCAAATATCCCTCTCTGCGGTTAAGGATCGTTAACAAAATGTTTGTTAATCAGATTAAACAATGGACACAAACATGCACCTTTATTAGAAATCCTGTAAACTTCGTCCCGCTAAATCGTCGACCTAGTCACGAGATCGCTTCGTTTCCAAACGGATCGGCTGGATACCCATTTTCCATGTTTTGTACAAGATCCATGTCATCTATTTGCATAGAAATCGTAAACTAATATACAAATAGTCACCAGTTAGCTATAAATATGAGAAGAAAGGATTGCAATGTTGGAAAGTCTATCTCATGTCGCAAATGCCATATACATATTATCGATCAAGGTATCATGTTCCAGAGATAGACGTACATTTGCTCATGTGTTTCAAACTGCATGATTCATTCGTCCAGAGAGTTTCGTCCATCTTTCCTTTTTAGACATACGAATTTGGGAAATTATTATTTTATTTGCAATACAAGATGTAGCAGGTTTTTTTAATATACTTGAATTTCCAGGATATTATTAGTACTTGAGTAATTCATCAGCACATTTTAAGTACACATACTTATGGCGTAGAACATGTGTTTGTATCAACTAGAATGTAGATACTCGTACTTAAAAAACATTACATCATGTATCAATTGGTAGACTGTTTTTATGAGGATTCAGAATTATAGTAAATTACCCAGAAGATACACAAAGATGCACTTCGCTATCATTCAAGCATTGCAAAATTGTGTGAATCCTCTACTAATCTTCAGGAATTTTGTCGGTATATCTAGGAAAACCTCAAAACAGAGCTGTCTCAATTTTTACAGCAAGTTGGCGCATTTACCCTTCACTATACGATCATTGGAGAAAAGACATATTATAAAAACAAACACCAACGTATAGTTGTCATTGTTTCATCATTTTGATCTAAACAGCACACGCTATCGAGGCTCCAGTGAGTTATTTAATCTCTGTTAATGTAAGCAAGCTTTCCATAATTTTGCAGATTTTTTGTTCCCTTGAATTTATCGTAGTGATGATTATCTGCAAATTTTCCAGATTGTGCAAATATTCTAAAACGGTAAATCACATATATCTCTCGCATTCACTTTGAACCTAGAAAACATCAAGAATATTGGTAATCATGAGATTCCAAAAATCAGAATCGCTGTAACGTTTGCTGAGGCAGGAGCAAAGAGCTACAGACGACAGGCCGACGGAAATGACATACATGTCCGAATCAAACGGAAAATAATTTTGAAACCACACTATCAGATTAAACTTGAGAAGAACTTCAAATAAATCTCTGCTTGCCACATTCCACAAAATATAGATTTAATTCAATCACGGTGAAAACAGACACATAATTATGTGGGCATTCAGTTATTTGTCCGTATCATTGAGAGCAATTTTATAATTTAGTTAGTAACAAGACGCAAGTAGCCATTATGATAAGATGGACGTATTCAATTTGATATGTTTATCGCACAACTGTTCCAGAAGAGGAAGAACTTCATAAAGTGATTGATCTTAAGGCATCTACGGAGAAGGCTAGAATCTAATTGTTTAGCAGATTCTCGAATAGAGAATAAAATCTTATTTCTGCATAGGTTATTAGACGCCAGCTGTATACCCTATTTCATGAGTATCCATTACGCTTTGACGTCTACTGAGGTGAACAGCTGATCAGAAGTGACATTTTTGTATTAATCTGCAACGTTGGCAATAATGAATCGGGTGTAAATCTAGTAAAACCTGTTTATAGCGTTTTGTTTTTTGTATGCAAATGAACTTTCAGAAATAAGAGAGGTGTTAGCAAGTACAAAATGAATCTGTAGCGTACAAAAAATCAAAACAAAATTCGGCTCTGTCTACCTGGCGTTGACGAATCCGTCAGAATTATGTGTCTTGTGCAGATATTGGGAATTTTGAGATATTACTAGATAATCAGCTGTCACTTTAGCGTGATGGATACTCGTGAAATAGGCTATATTCAATGAGGATAGATGAAGTTTCCACGCTTGCGCTCTTCATGACTCTAGAAGAGTGTGCATATTTTGTGTTGTTGCGAGGTTCTGGAGTACTACAGACTGGACTGGGGTCTAACATATTGGTTCCCAAGCTTGTTAAGGATATGAAGACCAGAGCTTGAAAATGAGAATCTAAACAAATGATTCCTTGTCTCACAGTAATCAAGCCTGTAAGCTTTGCATGCATCGGTACAGCTTTGCGTTAAAGGGGCTGGTTCCTCAAGTGCTGCCTCATTTCTTGCGATGGCGGCAATGGTTTGACATTTTCCTGCAGTAAACGGAATAAACATTTGTGTTATTGGTGCAAATCTTAATACCGATTAGTGGTGAACTGTTAATAGTTTGCCATAATAATCGCCGTTACAGTACCTTTTGTACATTTAGCTCTATTCAGAACGAGAAATTTCAATACTTCTATTAGCAAAACAATATGCCAATGATACAGAAACGATAATTGTCTTTCTGGTAATTAGGAAAAAAGTACGTTGAATTATTTTGAGTGCTATGAATCACCTAAAACTGTTATTCAAAATTCCAAGAAGGTATTTGAGTGTTGACTAATGCTATCTCACAACTCATATCGCGTGCATAGGTGGGATCCAACAAATACTGAGTAGCATTTTTCTGAGAGTTCTCGAGTTATGCGAGCAAAAAGTAAAATAGCTAATACTTCTCCAAACTGAATCCTTCCCAGTTAATAATCCCTGACCTCCAGAACACAAAGAACCATCTTTGCTTGATTCTCATATTTCACATTAGGTCGTACTTACTTGATCTATTTACAAAATACCGATAAATATCATGTTGTAGTACCGTTAAGCGCTACTAGTTTTCGGAACCACTTTACAATTATTATATCATTTTTATTGATTCAGTAGTAATTAGTCAACAACGAAAATCTGATATCAATTCATTCATATTTTTTCAGAACGACACAAATAGCACAGGATATTTATATTTCAGTAACCTCCGCAAGAAATAAAATAAAAATCGCCATCGTAGATTTATTATTAGACCAATGGACATAGCATCCGCAGCATCAAGATCCAAAGTATTGTGATTATTCACATTATTGTTCCAGTCGGTTCATTTTCGCAAAGCGTAATAGGTACTCCACTACTTATTTAGAAAATTTTTGTATCAGGGCTATTGCTTTTCCAAATTTCTAATATAGAATATTGTGCCAAAGTTGTAACGTGAGGCTAATGTGTTATAACCTCTTCCACAACTTTATAGATTGTGACGCTACGTTTACAATAGATGTTAAGACTTCGTCAAGCATTTGCTCTCTAACATTGAAATGAAAATTAATCTCTATTGCCGAATTTATCCTGTTGCAAAATCAAATGATTTCAATGAGTCAACACTCGAACGCTGCACCCCTTAATATGTTATTCTATTTAACCATAATTTAAGTAATTAACGTAGGTTTCTGTATATTCTTCTACTAGTGATCAATATACTTAGGTAAGAATCTAGCTCGCCACGAGGCGCTAAAAAAAGTTGATATCTCAAATTTATATTCCATACACAAACCCTAATTAGCAGTTAGTCACATAATTCATAATTACCGATCATTAAAATGGTTCATTCATAGCTAGCGGAAGTGCTAATAGTGCTGCTGTTCATTATAGTTTGTTCTATAACATCATAATATTTACAGTGTCTCTTTTGTATATCATATCCATCGATTGGTGGAGAAAAGAACTAAACTAACTCTCAGAATTGTGTTTGCTACTTGTTCACGTCCTATACTAGTAATGAAAGATTTATAAAATAAAGTTGCAATCAGCAAAAATTCCTGAAATTTTTATATGCTCAAGGTGTAACATATTGTCACACATTTTCATGAAGTTAACTTGTTTGTTCCCGAGCTAATCACTACTTCGTATGTGATCTCGTGAAAAACATGATATGTTCCATATTAATTTGATGAGAAACTTTATGCAAAACTGATCATACGAAGCTTCGAAAACATTAAAACGTTTCCGCAAAACTTGAAGAAAATGTTTGTAGAAATATACTGTCTCTGGAGGATAATTCAATATTCAGCTTTTGAAATATTTTGCCGGATGCCCTACCTCTGAATCTAATAGAAATGATCAACCACCCGCGACAATATACATTTTTCTGTTTCCAGGTAACCTAGCATCATTCATATGTGGAACAACATTCGGCTGGACTTCCCCGGAAATACCGAAACTGAAAATACCTGGGGAATCCCCTCTGGACGAACCCTTAACAGCATCAGAAGAGGGATGGGTCGGGTCCTTCCTTCCTCTCGCCGCAGCCGTCGGTCCTTTCGCGGGAGGATTCATGGTGGACAGAATTGGCAGGAAAAAGACACTATTAGTGGCTACCGTGCCCTTCATTGCAGCGTTTTTCATCAATATAGCACCATCTAGTGTGACCTATTTGTACCTGTCCAGATTCCTTTGCGGTAAGTAGTATGTCCGATTCGTTAGAGTTTTTAGTGAACAAAAGCAACGAATTGTTAAGCCGTCCACTACGCTTTTTGACAGGAACAGCAAATAACGGTGCTTTAAAAGACAGTTTTTATGGCCACTAATGGGAACCATGATAATTTGACAATACTGACTACTCGTGCTGACTACTGACTACTGACAATCATGAAATATTGCTTAATTTTTTTTCATTTTGACGTGAAGATAACGTCGAAATTTCAAGACCTTGTAAAATTTGTCAATGGAAAAGATTCTCTAATAGAGAATTTGCAGTACTCACACACACACAATAAATCAATCATAGTGTAGTTACACATATGGATTACTATAAATGGCTAAGCGATGACGTTACTTACAGAGACCTTACGATACACAAATGAAAATAATTAAGTAATCACTGATTATTTTAAAACAAGCAAAACGAGATCTCACTGAATTTGACTACAAAGGCACAATGATCTACAAGTTTAAAATGCGCGCTCTGAAGGGGTTCACGTACCGTCAAGGCAATCATTCCAATTACAAGTGAAAAAGATGAGTATGTAGAGGAAAGGAACCAAATTTGAGATACTTTTTTGAAAAGGAAAAATAAAGTAGTTGTTGTTTTAAACGAGCGTATATTTTTAAATAAACTTGCGATTTGATGCTCCTGGCATACTCTAAAATAAAAAAATATTATTAAATGTATTTTTTTACAGACAAAAAGTATATTTTAAAAAAAGTAAATATTTTTGTGAATTTACAACTGGTTCCCTAATTTGAGATACTAATCAAAAAATCCGTTTCATTTACAGAAAGTGCAAATGAACATTTTATTGCTCATCTCTCCAAAATTTTTATGTGCCCATCTACTACGTTGGCTGTATTTTGCCCATCTTTCACCCTTCCTATCTCCGGAAAATCGTCCCATACAAAATAAACTTTCGGCATCGCTTTCATGTTGCTGTCATCTAAAGATGAATGATCCAACTTAAGGCTTCCACTGTTTTTGAACTTGAACTGAAGGGGGAAGGTATCTATCCGAATCCTTTTGAAGCTTTTCAATAATCCATCTCCTTACTCTTGTGTTTCCAGGCATCTGCATCTCAAATTAGGAATACTTGGGTATCTCAAATTAAGAATTTTTCATTAAAAAGTTTATACAAGCATATTTACCCAATAAAATTACAATGTTGTAAAATAAAATAAATAAGGTACATGTAAACTACTAAATTTATCAGACAATTGTTATAAGTAACTTACCTTAATTTTAGTAATCACTTTTCCCGCAGTATTAAAAATATTTTTAACTCTAGTAACAAGCTTTGATGTCACAGCAAACCATGTGCAAAACTAAACTGTAAACACATGTAGAATACTACTGCGTTTTAGGTCACAGCTTTTTGGTAATTAGTAGAAGATGCTACAAAGATACAAAAGTTACACCACACAAATTAGGCGCTTGTCTCAAATTTGGTTCCTTTCCTCTACTCTGAGGGAGTGAACTTACCCGAACCACAGATTATCCCAAACCTAAACCGTTCAATCTAGAAGGCTATACAGGTGCTCTGAAGGGATCAACCTATCCAGGACAACAAAACCTCACAAAGAGACGTTACAATTGAACTAACAAACAAAATACCTAACACAAAATGGTTGATGCGCACCAGATCCAAGGGCCGTATCGTCAGTCGTTCCTACAATTGAAGGACGCCTTTATGGCCTCCTTGAGTTTCATAGTTTTCTATTCCATGTCAGCGCTCTATTTAGAGGTTATGTCACAAATATCTATTTACATCAAATGGTTCATGCTTTTGATTTATATTATCTGTTTTATCATCCTGAAAATACAAATTCGCAATAGAAGAGGGCTGACAGCTGCAGCGCTCTCATCCTATTGTGCACCTGTTTTCTTTTTGAATTGTAGGAAATTTCACGCTGATAAAACAGATGATACCTATAAATCAAAAGCATGAACAATTTGATGCAATTAGATATTTGTAACGTCACCTCAAAATCGAGCGCTGAAACGGAACAAAAGAAAGCTATGAAAGTCAAGGAGGCCATCGAGGCTACAATTGTAGGACGCCTAATACCTGTTCGCCAATCAGTACCAATACACAATAAATTACAATATCCCCAATTTTACACCAATCTTTAAGATTCCCCAAAACTGCACCACAACTGCACAAAAGTAACTTGCTCCGTATTCAAACTTTCCGTGTCTTCCGTTGGCACTGATAGTTGGCCGTGTCTGTATGCGTCGTATACACCGTTCAAACAAATGCAAGCACATGTGACGTTGGCGTTTGTTGTTGGAAGGTATTGGAATGCGCTCGTCTACACTTACATTTAGTTTCGAGTTGGACCGCGTTGGGTTAAATTCGGTGCTTATGTCGAGAGACGATTCTCCTCTTATCGGATGCAGACAAACGGCTAAAGAGTAGAAGCTCAACAAACCCTGCCCAGACCAAATCAAACCTCCCTTTGATGTACCGATCAAGGGGCGAACGCAATTGAACGCCAAGGCTTCCTTGGAAACCGTTGGTTTATATATTGGCTCGCGCCGTATACACCGATTCGAACAACTCCAAGCCTGTAACCACATGTGCCTTGGCTTGCGTTGGATTCTCGGTCTATATGCGGCTTACTACCGCTTTTCGTTGGTGGTTGGAAATAATGAATATTCCACTGGCGTACCCATGCTACAGAACAGACAACATTAAGCCAAATTTGCAAACACAAACTCGATGCCTGGCACTGTAAACAAATTCAAATTGGTGCAATTCTTGAACTAACCTAGATTATGTTCTACATCAGCGTCACACTTTATTAATTTTAATTTTACAAAGTCCTAGTGGACCTAGTTCGCTCTTCCCCTGTTCATCGCTTGGTACCAAAACTATATATTTATATTTTTTCATTTTCTCTTGCAGGTCTTGGAGTAGGTAGCATCTTCACTGTAATTCCTATGTACGTCGGTGAGATAGCAGACGATGAAACAAGAGGGCCCCTAGGGTCCTTCATGCAGCTGTTCATCGTCATAGGATTGCTGTTTTCATACGCTCTAGGACCTTACCTCAGTATTAAGCTCTTCAACATCATTCTTCTCGCACCTCCTATTGCTTTCATGGTGGTTTTCTTTCTATTCATCCCTGAAAGCCCCTACTATCTCATCAAGGCTAAGAATGAAGGCGGTGCCGAAGATGCTTTGGCGAAACTCAGGGGCAAAAGCAAGGATGCGGTAAGTTTTTATTCACCGAAATTATACAGTAGGCACTTTCTGGGTAGAACGATGTCACCTTTTGAAGATTAAGTGTAGCAACAAACAAGTCGCACAATGTAGACAATGTGCTGTTAGTACTCTCAACCAAGTCTTACTTCTTTGGACTTCCCCCCCCATGATACTGACAGGCAATCTGCCAAACTTCGGCCCTTCATCCTATGTCTGTCGAATTTCCTAGTACTAGCCGGTACGACTGTTCCTGTGCTCCTAGAGTGTCTGTTCGTGAAGCCTTTGCCCAGTTCCGCTAACCTTAGGGAGTACAAAAATCGGATTAACAAGATGTATTTAAGCTCCTTATAACATTTGCCTGTCCTTTTTATTTAGGCTTTTGTCAACTTGATTGACTCTGTACTTTCCACGCACTCATATATTGCTATTTTAAAATCCATAGATACAAACTGGAGGTGAAAAACATTATTTGCACAGCCATCTCCCAATCTCATTTAAATGGATTCTGAGGCTACACGGTTAGAAAAACCCTCGGAAATGGGTAGCATAGATCATGAAATAAGGTCAAAATAAACTTATAAACTATTTGAAAATGTTTACGATCGCAATGCGTCCTTTGCTTACACCTACACACACGAGAAAAAACTAAATTAATAATACTACATATAAGAGTTTTTAAGACTATTGGTCGTTTCCGGAAAATTATTCGATAGAATTGAACACGGTGAAATTTCGATAGAATTTGAGTACAGATTTGACTGTATTTTTTTTATTCTACCTTTTGGTCCCTAGATAATAGTTAGTTTTTCACTTCTTAATCTCAAAAATTTTTGAATTAAATTTTTTTGAATGTTTTCGTATATCTAAATAGACTCTACAGAACATAGAAAACAAAATTTATGGTTATCAAGAGATTCAAATCCAATTATCGTTTTGTTTTGGTTTTAGTTATAAAACGGAATTACTTCCTACCTAGCCCGTTTGGGTCTACTTAATACAGACTGCTTTGTCAGTCACTGGTGACTGACACTAGATGGTGCCTTGACTGCCTTGACAGTCATCAGAACTGACACTTCAATCATACTTTCAACTTATTATTTAGCATTGTCAGTCATGGATTCCATGTTGAATTATAATAAACTTTCCTGATGAGGAATGCATCGAAATAAGTAAAACATCCTTAAGTCTCTTAGGCTGACGTTCAGTGTGTTAAGCATTAGGTTTTTGTCGTTTTCCATCGATATTTGTTAGTAGGTATGACATCGATAGGGGATGGCTCATCTATGAATTAAGTAGGTTAGTGGGCGCAGTTTCCCCTCCTTGTGATTCTCCAGCTGTGTAGTGCTCGTAGAAACATACTGTATACAGTGCTTTTCACACACATCATTATTTGAACGGGTCAAGGTAGCAAATTAAAATTGTGGTATTCATATATCAACTTCAGTTGCTGACTTGACTCGTACAGGAAGAAAATATTGAGGGTGACTTTTTTTAAAAGTACTGTGTAGTAAACACTCTTTTGAACAAACAAATTTCTACGGTATTTTTAGGTACGCAAAGAAATAGAAACAATCAAAGCATTGGTGGCCGATGCCGAGGCAAACAAAGCAACATTCTTCGACATCTTCAAGTCAAAGGGCTTAACGATGGCCCTCTTCCTCTCCGTCAGTTTAGTGGCCTGCCAGCAACTGTCAGGTATCAACATCATCCTTTTCTACGCCCAGGACATCTTCACGGATGCAGGCGTCTCGTTGGCGCCAGAGATTTGTACGATCATCATCGGCATCGTGCAGATTGCAGCTAGTGGAGCGACACCTATCATGGAGAAGAGGTTCGGGAAGAGGTTCCTATTAATGTTGTCTGGTATTGGAATGGGCTTGTCCCAAGGTAAGAGATAGCACTCAATAAAAGTAAACGTGACAGAGAGAAAAATCAGTGAAAAAATATTTTTATACGAGTATGGCTAAAATAAAATACTTTGCTGAATATTATCGAATCGGGAGATTACTGAAAAACGTGTCAAAAGTACCTCTTTTTTTACAAGACTGGCGTGATATAGAAACGTGTCTATGGATCAAGTTCTTGCATGGCTATCTACATTAAGAGACAAAGGTGGCCATTCGCAGCATGATGTGCGTTGTAATTGAAAATTATCACATGTCTGTGCATAGACGGAGTATTACTCTTAGAATACTTTGTTAAACCACCTGAACCTTATATTGCATTGCATTATAATGTAGCTGGGATACATTTTAAAAATGCCTATAATTATTCAGGGTTGCTCATCATTGATAGCTATATAAAAATTATTTTCTTAACACTCTCGTAGGCCCTATTAAGTATCCACTTGCCTCAAAAAACTATCTCTCTTAATCTGCTCAATCAATGACTAACGTTTTAGCTACTACGCCCCTTTTCAAAATACAGACCCATAAAGTTATAAATAATAAAGACTGGAAACAGGAGAGCAAACCGATAGAGTGGAGCTGTTAATGTGGTTCGAACATTTGGAAAATTGGTAATTCAATCACTAGGTAAAAATCATCGCAATCATCCTTAGTTTCAGGGCTTGTTTTTTGTTTAAGATGTATTTAGCATGATTGCTACAATTACATTCTTCTGAAAAGCTGAGCAATTACATGACTTACAGACATTCAGAAAAAAAACAAAATTTGCATCTCTAAGAATTTTCATTATCCAAGAAATATTCCTTTAATTTTCTTTTAAATATCTTTAAATTACAGGTAGACTTTATATAATTATTCATTTTATTAAATTCAAGTAATCCTTTCTGATATATTGATTTGCTAGTTATACATATTACTATTGCAATTTTGTAAATGAAAGTCTATATTTCCACTCGTATAATAATTGTGGTAATGATTATTAAATTCTATGTACGAGTAGTGTTCTAAATGTTCTGTCTAAAGATGATTTTTTATTTTTAATATAAAAATAAGAACCAAATATTATATGAAATTTTTTATATTCAACTACTGCAATTCTTATAACATAGATTTTATTTTGGTGTACTTATTTTCTAAATAATGTATTCATAATGATCCTCAAACTTTAGTTTACTATCAATATATATATACCTAAATATTTAATTGATTCAACATTTTCAATTATTTCTCCATTTATCCTAACTGAGATAGTATTTTCATTTAGGTATTTCCTATTAGCATACATTTTGTTTTAGAAGTGTTCAATTTTAGTTTATCTACCTACATTTAACCAATTTACGATTTTTGCCAAGTCAGAATTTAGCATGTTTAAAGCAGTGTCTATATTTTCATCTGATATGTATATCAATGTATGATCTGCAAATATCTGAAGTTTACAATAATCTAAAATATTACAAATGTCATTAATGTATAAAATAAATAGTAGTGGACCTAGTTTACTACCTTGTGGTATACTAACAGAAATATTTTTTTACTGGATTCTGTAGATCCAATTTCGGTTTTTTGACTTCTGTCAATTAAATAGTTTTGTAGAATTTTGAATACATATCCTTTAAATCCGTAGTGATGCAATTTTGTAAGTAATGTATCCCTATCAATAGTCTCAAACGCCCTTTTGAAGTCCAAAAACACTGTTACTGTGTGTTTCCGATTGTCCATACATCTCCTCCAGTCCTCTAAAACCATTTGTGTTGCCATTTGAGTTGAGTGTTTCTTCCTGAATTCAGCTTGACATTTGGTTAAAATGTCACTTCCCCAATAAATTCGATGATCTGTTCGTAAATAATTTCGTCAAAAACGTTTTCAACATCTGGCAGAACATTTATTGGCCGCATATTGGTGTACAACTCAGAATTCTTAACTTTAGAAACAGGAGTTATGATAGAACACTTCAGTTTTGTTGGAAATTCGACATATTTTAAACAGTAATTTATCAGGATTAATATTCTTGCTCCAACATTCATTAAGCACACTTTTAGACAAAATCTCACTCTTATTTTTTTAATTTTTGATATAAACTTCTTGAGACGATTAATGTTTATTGTTCTAAACTCACTGAATGATGCGTTATAATCTGAGCTAATGAGACAATGGTTGGGATCCTGGTCAATAATTGATTTTACAATGTCGTTGACACTTTCTATGAAATAGGTATTCCTTCGATCTGCTATTATTTCTTCATTTGTTATTACCCCACCATCGAATTTCATTTTAGATAATGTACTTTTTCTAATAGGAGAAACAATGTTTTTCAACGTTTTCCACATATTGCTATTATTTTTACTCCGATCAATTTTGGTATTGTAATATTTTTTCTTTTCATCTCGTAGAACTGCTACAGATTGGTTTCTTGATCTTATGTATTCTAACCAAGCATTTTCACTTCAAGTAATAAACTTTTAATAATTGTAGTCTCTTTTTAATTTAAAATCCTTGAACGTCTGCGAGAATCAAGCTGTTGGATTTTTCTTTTATAATTTGTTGTCTTGACTGTAGCTTCTTTTACGCAAACTTCAACATTATCCCATAGGCTTATATAGTAGCTATCAACATCACCAAACGCTTGTCATATCTTGCAGTAAAAGATCTTCTCGTAATTTTACATAGTTAATGTTAGTAATTTCTTCCACTTTGTTAGGATCAAATTTACTTTCAACTTCAAAACATATCCATGAATGATCGTTCGTTATTAGCAAATCTATAATTGTTCTTGATTGATTTGTAGTTCTGGTGTGATCATAGACTTTTTGCCATAGTCCATAAAAACTGATTACCTGTTTAAATTTCTCTGCGTAGAAGTCTTGATTATCAAAATTTATATTAAAATCGCCCAAATGTACCGTGATGCAGGTAAAAATGTTTTTGACAGAATTTTCGAAAAAATCTATAAATCTGTTTATATTTCCAGTTAGTGATCTGTAGTAAATGTGTAAATTATAATTGTGCTTAAGATTAAATTCAACATTGATATACCACCATTGGTACTCAACAGCTACAATTTCATGTACTCGGTATGTCTGGAAATTGTGTTTGCTCTTACAATTTGATCGCCTTCAAAACCAATTTCTTCATCGCCAATATCCTCTGTGAGATGTGTTTCAGTTAATGTTAATGTAATGTAAAACCACATATTTTTTAGATATAAATCCTTGAATATTTATATGGTAAATATAGTTTGCATACTCTTTTATCTGTAATATGCTTTGGCTTGTGTTTTTTTATGTTCCATTTGGACTATCCTGTAAATTTTATTAAATGGTGAATGGTGTATGTCGAAATTTGTTTTATATTTTTAATTAGATTCTTTACAATTTGGACAAGTTCTTTCATTTTCTGGTATTTCACAGTTCTGCTGTTGATGGCCACTTCCACCACATTTAAATAAATACCATTCTTGGAGCAATTCTTTGCAGTATGGTGGAAACCAGCACAATTGAAACATCTTAGGAGGTTATAATGTTCAAAAATTGTACATACATCCATAAATATAAAAAGTACACCTTCTTTCATATCTTCACTAAATGTAGTCTCATCTAGTTCCAAGATAGCCTGATATCGTTGTTTCATTTTTTTAATCATCACCACGCTTATTATTGAATTAGATGTAATAACTCTGTTTCTTTCTTTTATGTCCTTAATCAGTACTTCTTTACCCATTTCTTCACTAAAACCGACGACTTTAATCATAGGTAATTTCTGTCGGCCCACGTTAACTTTATAATTTTATCCAATGTTTTTTTCCACTTCTATTTTCAATTTAGATATATCTTCATTATTCTTGCATACAATTTTCACAGATCCAAGTTTCAAATCGGTAATTTTTTTATAGAAACATTTATTTTGGCGGGGTTAATATATTTGCTCAATACTTTCTTTGTTTGAAGGCAATTTTGATTTCCAGTAACTGGTTTTATAACAATTGTATTTTGTGGTTCAGGTAGAGAAACAACCATATTGTTAATAGTATTGAATTCCTTGAATGCCATTGTTTTCATATTCAAAAAACGCACATGCACTTTGATTACGTTTTTCAGACATTTAAGCAAACTGTTTAAACATTCCTGTGTCATTACTGAATAATAAATCATTTAATAATGATCTAATCTAATATGAACTCGTTTCAGGTGTTCTAGCTTATTTCTTCCACCTAAAAGACGGTGGAAAAGACGTATCAAACATCGGTTGGATCCCCATAGCTTGCCTAGTAGTCTACATCGTCACCTACTGTCTAGGCTTCGGTCCCTTGCCATGGGCTGTCATGGGAGAACTTTTCCCGGGCAACATCAAGTCTGCAGCATCCACAGTTACCGCCTCAGGTTGCTGGGTGCTCGGTTTCCTTCTCACCAAGTACTTTGGTATGGTGGCTAACATGATAGGAAAAGACGGATCCTTTGGATTCTTCGCAGGGTGCTGTTTCGTTGCTGCGGCGTTCACCTATAAATTGGTACCAGAGACGTCTGGCAAGAGCTTCCAGGAAATTCAAGAGATTTTGAATGGCGAGAAGCCTACTCAGAAAAAAGGTGATGTCAAGGAATAGATATGGAAAAGCGTGGAAAAGCAAAAACATGGACAGTACAGCGATAATGTTGCGGTCATGGCGATGACACCTATTTATTGATGTATTTTATACAATTGGTTGGCCAGACAAACAAATGAACTTATTTATAAGCAGTATCAGGCAATATGGCAATACTTGTGAATGGAGTTAACACGTCTCAGGTTTGATTTCTTGTTAATGCTTGTATGATGTGTATACAGTTCAGTAAGAACGCTGATTGAATTGACAGACAATTCATACATACCACTGGCACGTGTTTATCTGTTTTAAAATAAAAGTAAGAGAGCAATATAAAACTGCTATTATAGCTGTTATAACCCCTGCTCATAGGGGCTTCACAAATAATAATACAGTATTGATTTTCTAAATAAAAAAACAACTATTCATTTTTGCAGCGTTTGCCGAGAATTTTTAGTTTGTAAGGGATACATAGTATGTTTAGAGAATGAAGGGTCATTTCATACGTCATTTTGAAGCTTAAAGTCGATATTCTTACCTACTACTAAAGAAAATCACATTATGATAAATACATCTGTTTGACTCTATTCCGATATGTAAGTATAATAAAAGTCATAACTCAAACGGCTTGCTCATAAGTCATATTGCTTCATCTTGGCAACTGATTAGGTTTCTAATAACCAACATCCAATGACTTGCACTATATAGTAGCATAATAATGGCTGTTATGCTACAATTTCGAACTTATGTTAAGCATGGAAACAGTTACCGAGCCATCACTAAACTTCCGTGACTAGTAACCATGAGACTTTCAACAGATCCTGAACGTAGATCACAGGTAATGCCAAAACATCTACCTGGGAAAAATTAAAATGTAAAATAAGCATTGTATGAGATTGTACAAGAAACTGGATTTTTCCATATTATATAATTACTATGTAAAATTCTCGAACGTACATCAACTTTATAACCCAACATGAAGCGAAAATTAAGTGGTACGTGTTTACTATTGTCACTTTCATAACAAAGCTTCTTTTGTATTTTGTGGACATACCAGGATGTCACTTCTATACGTCTGCTCTATTTAATTACTATAGAATGTGCTTTTGAGTTTAGAATACAGCACAGTGCCAAGCAATTTACATCATCTTTTAAATTATTTTTTATTATTTAGTTGTTGAGCGTTATTTGATATATTTATTTTGGAATTTTATTGTATTAAATTACTGATAAATGCAATGATGCGTATTTCGATTTGTGATAATTTTTGGTATATAAAATGTGTGTTACAAATAAATATTTGTTTTAAATATTGTTGTTGTTACTCATTCAACCCTCGACGTTTCTATCCAAAATAACTAGCTCCTGCTAGAATGCAAAACTCGAATGTCCTTCACATGGACTGCTGAAATTCTTCAAATATATACAAGGTGCTACAAATTCGAGCCTCATTATTGGGATCTCGCTAACTGTAAGAGATACGACGTCGCTTAACAGAAGACAAAGTTGCATATTTAGGTAATCAACGATATGCCGCTTGGAAAGTTTCTAAATTCAAAGTACTTCCGGAGAGAGACGGCAAAAACCGAATTTTTCCAAAATCGTTTTGCTTTTTTCCTGACTTTATTTGTAGTAGAATTCCAAAATAACTTGCACATTAACACTGCGATTTTTTTCCTCTAGAGGATGACATGATTAGAATTCCAATATGACGTTTCGTCTCTTGACCTCCAGCATCAACTTTATTTTTTCTTATGGTCGCCACATTAAATTCTTGCACAGATGAATAGTTTTTATTCTGTTTCGAAAAATCGTCCTAGATAGGCCCTAAAATTATCCGATTAACAATTGTTTTGCACACTAGATTTACCCCAAAATCACTTTTATTTTTTCCTGAATTTATTCGTGATGGGATTTAAAAATAAATTGCATCTTAATCTCCTCTACAATATGCCGTAGTCAAATTTTCAAATCGACATTTCTTTCTTTCGAGATTACCAACTTTGTTTTTTCATATGGACGCTATATTGGAATATTATTCATTTGAATGGACCTTTCAGTCCTAAATTCAGTTATGTATTTCTTAAATGACCATAAATTTGTTGTTGGATGAAAAATATAAGAAAATAAAAAGGTATGGTGGAACCTGAACACAAAATGAAAATTTGATTGATGACAATTACAATAATAATCATAAATAAGCAGAGATAGATCGTAACAGAAGTTCAAAACGTCCGTTATCTTGTAGGCAAAGCCTGACTCTTCTCTGTACATTTTTCACTGCTCGATTTATTTCTCTTCTTCTGAGTGTTCCAAACTCTGTTGCTATACTCAATGTGAGGTATGGTCTGGTATACGAAACAAAGACTATCAGATAATTTTAAGGTCTACCTAGGATTTTTTTCTGGAATAACTAAGGTTTGGCAATGTCAGTGTATGAGATATTTACATTTTTGAAATAAGAATTAAGAACTCTATTTATCTGCATAAAAATCCAATATGGTGTCTATAAGAAGAAATAAAGCTCATGCTGGAGGACAAGAGTCGAAACATCATATTGAAATTCTAATTATGTCACCTTTTAGAGGAGAAAAAGTGGCAATGTCAATGTGCCATTGCACCCTGTATATAATTTCAAATAAATTTTAAAATTATTAAAACATCATGACTTATGACTTGCTCAATCTGCAAACTTGAACCCTCCAGGTCCAAAGTTTTCATTGTCCATGACTACTGTTATCACGTTGAACATTTTTTTATATTGTACGAGTATTGAGGATTTAGGTACGATTTTTTCTGAAAAAAAAACATTATTTTCGGAAACTCAATACTTCAAATTTATTTTGGCCCACATTTTGGTAACACCCTGTATAAGTGTATACCTGCAACATCACACATTCGTACTTTTCAACTAACTAATTGTGTGTCAGTATGAATTTTCTAACAAAAATCGGTTTTTGCGCAAGTAGATGGAAATCTGACGATCGCCACCTACCAATAGTTTTGTCGTCGGTTTGTTCAGAATGTAGTTTTTGCAAATAAAACACTAGTAACAAAAAAAAGTATAATTATAAAAACAATAAATTAGTTATCTTACAAATCGACGCCGATTTCGTTAACAATATCTATCGATTGAGCTCTTCTTGGATCTCACTTATAGATTTTCCTTTCGTTTCTATCAAAACAAACCACGAGAAGGGGATAGCTAAAGCAGCACACCCTGAGAAAATCCAAAACGAGGGCCCCATACCGATACTGGCTGAGATAGACTTGAAGAAATAACCAATCAAAAAGCCCATGAACCAACAGATTGCAGCTGTCAGTGATGACGCAATGGACTTAACGTTACTTGGGAATATTTCACCCATCACAGCCCATGGTAATGGTCCAAACCCAACGTTGTACATTATAATATACGTTATTAGACATGCAATAGGCAAAAAGGAAATACTTTGAACGTCATCCCCCTTATCTTTAAGGTAGCAGTATACACCAAGGGGTACTTCTGCAATTACCATACCAACAGCTGAAATGAGTAGCAAAATTTTCCTCCCCAACTTATCAGAGATCAGAGGTGTAATGAAACTAGTACCAAATTGTACTCCTCCAATCAAAATAGAGCACACTTCTGGTGCTAAGGTACTTCCTGCTTGTTGGAAGATACTTTGTGCATAAAACAAAACGGCGTTTATGCCGGAAAATTGCTGGAAAGCCACCAAGCCCACTGATATGCACAAAGCCTTGATCAAACCTTTTGACTGGAATAAATCGGAAAAGCCACCTTTACCATCTTCTTTTTGCTTTTCTTGTAAACTAGTTAATTCCTGCTTGATGTCTACCCCAGATCCTCGTAACCGTTGCAAAACAGCTTCAGCTTCTTCATCTTGATTTTTGCTTACGTAATACGTAGGAGTCTCAGGTGCGAAGAGGAAAAACAATACAAAGAATGCACATGGAGCAACCGTCAACACTATGTTGAAGACCATCACAGACACATACGGTCCAAGAGAGTATGAAAACAGTAAACCTAAGCAAAGAAATACGTTCATAGATGAGCCCATTGCTCCTCTATTGCTGTTATCAGCAATTTCACTCAGATACATAGGTATCACTGTGAAAACACCCCCAAGTGCTAAACCGATGATGAATCTAGCAGCGAGAAAGAGGTAAACGGATTTTCCAAAAGCAAGCAGAAGGTAGCATAGTGCAAAAGGTGGCGCAGTACTCAGCAAAGTATACTTCCTCCCGATCTTATCAGCTAGGAATCCGAAGATAAATGGTCCAAACACTGCGCCAAGAGCGAATATTGATGAGATCCAGGACTGTTCATTCATTGTGGCAGGTTCATCAAGTGGTCGCACGTTTGAGTCGTTGCTTGCTAGCTTGTCCATCTCTGGGGAAGACCATGTCAATACCGTCCCAGCCACAAAACTGGCCAAGTTTCCTAAAATCAAGATATCTATATTAGACCCATTAAGTCAGTCAGTCTATTGAAAAAAATTAGGTTAAGGCGAAAAATAATGTAGTGGTCGCCTGGATTCGATTTTAAAGACAAATTAAGGTGGACCATGGTAGACCATGTTTCTTCTAAGAAGTCGTAGTTATTGCCGTACAATGACAAATTCCTTCCACTCATACTTCGAACTCAAGGACACACATGCGGCGGGAGTCGCTCGTGTCGCTAATTTGTCAACGTAGTCCCTCGCTTGATTGCATCGGCCGTCGCCGTTAAAACTTCAAGTAAATAAGCTATTAGTTTCTTTTTTTATCTAGAACATTTTTGCCTTACATAGGGTTTGGATAATTTAATTTTTTTCCTAACCCAAATTATAAAGATTACTAGCAAATTATTTGACATTGATATAAAACGCATTAAAATTATTTTGAAAGCATTTCCACGAATACTCCTACATTCTTAATTTTACGATAGCCTTCAAGTAATGTTTATTGAGTATTTTTTATGAGAATATTTTATTTTAATAAAGTAAAGTAATTTAGATTGGTATCTTGACCGCAACGTTAGTTTTAAGTTAAACAATTGGTTTATAATATTGGTCTTATATGGACCCTTGTTTCTTGCAAGGCCGTTCTGAAGAGTTTTATAAATATTAAATTAAATAAATTATGCTTAACTCTGCAAAAAGAAGAAACATATTTTTAAGTTAAGTAGTAGAACAAAGTGTTAATAATCTATTTGTTCCATTGATTCAGTAAATAAAGGAATATGTACTAACTGTCAGCGTGGCCTTCCTTGGTGCACCCACCTTACTTTGCATAAGATGTATCTTGTTAGCATCATATTATGTTAGCATACTCATTCAACATATTCTCACTCTCTTCCATTTTTACGTTTTCTCAAAATATTTCTCCCACAAATACGTGTTTGTATAGAAAACATCAGAGGAGGAACGGTTTTACTTTATATGACAAGAGGGAATGTAATCCTCAAAAGTTTCGAGATTATGACTTTATCTCTGACTGTACATTGTACATTCCGTTAGTCTGTTTGTCTGCAGTTTGTGTGTTCAGTAATCATTGACCCCTCTATAACTCGGAAAGAAATGCTATGGATTTTGCTGAAATTTTTACACAAAGTTACAATTTAGTATGAACAAGCTTTGTAGGTACTGGAAATCTGTTCAGTACCAACAGAGTTATATGTCAAAAACGTCCCTAAGTTTTGTTTTCCGAATATCTGATCTTTTGTGGACATAGTGAAAGATTCTTTGGAGGGATCGCAATTTAAAAAAATTCAAAAATGTCGACATTGTTCTGCTTTCTGGTTACTTTAACGTGTAGACAAAACGTGCTTATAAATTATTAGAGTTCTTAAATCTGGCATCACACATTTTACTTATCAATAGTAGCGCTAAGAATATATTCATGTTGCCTGAACGTTAAATAGATTATAGATCACTAACACAAGATGGTGCGCATACAGTTAACAACTACTACCACAGTCATTTGCAATATTACACATCGTTTTACCGGTAGGAAATTCCGATAATCCTGTGATGCCTTTGTTTCAGGGAATTATTGCATAGCAACATAAATCCATTAAGTAACTGTTGTTATAAGATGTAGATATGGATTATCTGAAAATGTATATACATTTTATATTCTTTCACATTCGCTATCAGTACTCTTCATTGCGAACAAGATACCGACGCAATAAACTTATATACGAGTATGTGAAGTGCGAATTTGATACACTTCTATCCATACCACGATAAAATGATTATGAGAGCCTAGCACACACTCAACAATTTTAAGTATCTATGCACATGATCTTTACTACTCTCATTCAAACTTCATCGTGTAAATATTCCGATCTCTCGAAATATTAATATAGAGAGGATAACTGATGTAAGCGAAGTGAATCAAGTAACATGCATGAAATTTTAGAAAGATCTAACTTGCTCCCAACAAAGGCAAAAAGATTCAAAGGATTCAGTCTCTATAAATCATATAAATCTAGATGCATCTTCACGTAAATTCCAAAAATACGAATTCCGATACGACGCCAATAATTTTCGAAAATTTTAACTTGCAAGAAATATAGAGGATACCTATCGCGGTAGCCGATCCCTGCATAGGGTAGCACAGTCTTCCGGCATCTCCGATTGTTTCTAAAGAGATGAGCAAGGTCGTCCACTGTATAGACGCCCTATCGTCACTTAAGGGAGTACTCAGTACTAAAGGTGTTCGTTTGTTTGCTTTCCGTTATCTGTCCCCAAATTACTAGATCTATACCGTACTGATGATTGCTGAAAGGCATGGAACAACGTTGTATACCGTTGACTGTGGCCGCAGAGACGGAAAGCCAACAAATTATATTCAGCCAAACATTACTTTCCAAAAAGTGCTGGCTATGGACAAATATTATCAGCAATTTAACGTATAAAAACAACATTTAAGGAGTTTTTATGGTTTCCAACTAAATATACAGCAGTGTTCGAAAGCAAGCCTATGGTCATCAAAATCTGTGGCCTCTAAAATTACACGTTGGCCGGACAAAAACATAGATGGTCAGGCAAGCCAATAGAAAGCAGTGCTACAGACTTTCATATACCAAGCACTATGAATGATCATGAAAAGTGTTATTCAAAATTTGAAAAGTTCGATTAGAATGCTTTCCCTGTGTATTATGATATGAACTGAAATAACCGCGGCACCGATTCTGACGAAGGGACAATAGTTGAGAGGTCACAGTAGGTATAACTATACAATGAAAATCTATATTTGGTGTCAGAAAAGCCCTAGTTAAAGCTAGCTTAAAACATTTTCTGAATGAGCAATTTTTTCAAGAAGTTTCAACTTGGTTTGTCAAAAAGAATAGGAAATCTTTACGAACATTGACTCTAATTAATTTCTCGATAAAGATTGTATCATTTCTGTTACCCGCTAAGTTCTCCTTCACTTGGGCACTATCGTCATGTGGCCAGACACAAGTTTTCAAACATCTTTGGGTTGTTGCTATCTATTTTATTTTCCTATCTTTAAATTTACTCTAACAATTTGATTAATAATAAACTTTATACTTTACAATTTAAATAACAAGCCTCTAGTATCAGATACCAGCTGTGAATATTGCGAAAGTGAGTAGGTCTTATACCTACAATATTTTGTTCTGCTTAGGTCGTTATACTACCTAGAGTTCTAGGCCGTGCTGATCATTGCCCATAAGCACGAAACAGTTGTAGCTGGGTGACCTTCTTTTAGTCGGCTAGACAAGCTTTTATCGCTGACATGAGGACAAACATATTTTAACCCTGAAATACTCACTGGATGCATAAGGAACATATATGATCTACCCTTATCCAAATACGAGTATATAAAAAATTGTTTCAGGAAGCGCGTGGCGTAAAATAAAGTGATTATTCAAGGAAATGTGAGTGTTTTTATTGGTAAGTTCATCTAAAGGACGTATAATTAGTACCGTGCAATTTATGTGTGAAATAGTATTTGAGGGTTAGGAAAAGGATTGTTTCCATACCCACAAATCTGGCAAATAGTGGCATTCACTTACCACATCAAAGCCATTATAGAGTTAATATATCTAATATATGCTAGGTATTTTTTATGCAGTCCACTACAAAATTAAAAATTGACCAAACCAAGATATGTGAGCACTTCGAGACAGTTTCTCAAGATCTAAAAAAATTACCAAATACAATTAAAATCAAGTGTCGGACATGCAGTGGGCAACAAAAAATTCACTACGACAATAACAAATATGCAAAAAGTACTCACCTGCAAGTGCACTCAAATAAACCTGTGCCATGGCGGAATATTTATTACTTAATAAAGATTTTTCGGTAGTTCGATGATCATGCACCGCATTTGATACGTGCTCTGGCGAAAACTGTTTCACACAATTTCGCGATTATATTTAAGTTAGCATGGAATGTTATTCGGATCTTATCAATATCTATCGCTGATTGATTTTCGGAATGAAAACAAAAAATAAATCACTGAACATAGATTTAGATATGATACGGGCAGTCGAAATATCTGACATTTAAGGAATTTACGTAGTTTTCAATTTTGTGTGCAACTCTGATGGTTTTTCATGAATGGGTCGCATAAATGTCTGCCTTGCACTTTCAGTACTTGTATGGTATTGCTAATTTGGAACACCGTTTTCTGCTGATTCATATAAAAATAAAATAGTTAAGGAAACGACCTAAATATTTGGAGAAAAAATCTTTTCCGGTTTCTAAATTCGACATTTGAAAGACAGAGGCAGCATACGTGTTGGAGTAAGCGAATCTTAGCCGGCCACTGAAGCTGTAGCTTTACGTTGAAATGCAGTGCAATTTAGATGACGATTTCTGCTGCTGCTTTAATCCGATTGGCACCTTCATTGACATAACTTATATTGTGGGCAAGTAGGTGAGAAAACTAACCAATGGTTCGCCAAGCTGATTTGATCTTCAACCCATTCGTTGAAATGCAGAAAGACACTGTTACATACCGAAAAACACTTGACTAATCCAAGTTGTTGGAAATAGAACACTATGAAGAATTTTTTGTCCAGTGCTCTACCACCTTCTGTACATCCACAAATAATTTGTTTGTAGGTTTGAAAACTCATAGATGGGTGCCTCAAACATTTTAAACCTGTTTTTAATAATGATCATTTCGTATAGCATAGGTATAGCGCTTTTCGAAAGCCTCCCAACTTATTTCTCGCACGGGTCAAGCCAGCAAGTTAAAATTTGGGATAATGAATTGATGCATTTTAGCGTAAAGGAGGCAGTTAAAGATTTGAGGGTGGCGGCTAGGCGCCACTTTAGAACATTTTCAAATAGAGTGGAGAATCGTGTGATGCCATATTTTGAAGCTATTTATGAACATTTCAGATTCCTACAGTATAAAATCATCTTTC